ATAAATATATGAATAAATGATCTGTTACATTTTTACTGATATTAAATTAATGAAAAGAAATATTAGTAATCTCACGTGTAGTAAACATTAACCTATAATATTGGATTTATGTCATAATTTCGTATGTAATAAAATAAGAACAGTATAAAATCTGTCAAATTAACATTTCAAACATACTAATTTTAAAATATATTAAGGACATTTATGCATTTATATATAGATACATATAAATATGTGTGCTTGTATATGTGTATGTTCATATGTGTAATCTATAATTATTTACACACTTATATTTTTATATAAAAAGAATATTTATATTTTTATAGATTGTGATTATTTTATAGATTGTGAATTATATTTTCATAGATTGTATATATATATTCACAATCTATAAAAATATAAATATTCTTTTTATATAAAAAAAATATATATACACAATCTATAAAAATATAAATATTCTTTTTATATAAAAATATGAGTGTGTAAATAATTATAGATTATACATATGAACATATCCCATACAGCAGAGGTGTCCAAAATATATCACAGGGATATCCTAAAGATATATTTGGGATATGCGATATCTTCAAGATATCCTTATGATATGTTTGGGACGTTCCTGCTGTGTGGGACACATACAAGCACACATATTTATATGTATCTATATATAAATGCATAAATGTCCTTAATATATTTTAAAATTAGTATGTTTGAAATGTTAATTTGACAGATTTTATACTGTTCTTATTTTGTTACATACGAAATTATAACATAAATCCAATATTATAATAGGTTAATGTTTACTACACGTGAGATTACTAATACTTCTTTTCATTAATTTAATATCAGTAACAAATCATTTATTCATATATTGATATATAAGGAAAATGATACGCGCTAATCATTAGAATAATAATTACGTACCTACCGACTTTTATCTTTTTATTTCTCTTGAGGACAAAGTATCACCTCACGTCGCTATGAAGCTAATCCGATTACTGCTGAGACAGCTTTTACTAAAATCTGATTAAGCTAGGGAATTTTTTGAAATGGGTCGATTGAGTACCACTGTTCAATCGGATTTACAATTCGACAACTTATCGTAAACACCTTGTACTGAGTTGCTTGAACCATAAAGATACTAGACGGTTGTGCCTATTACATTTTTCGACCTTAGTGGAACTAACTCGTACTCGATTTAACGTAAACACTTTTAGTATGATATTTCTGTGTATATATGGATTATATATATATATATATATATATATATATATATATATTGCATTCCAATATTGCTATGCATATATATGGTATT